ATTTCACACATTCAAAACCAAAAAATCAAAAAACTCAAATCCAAAACACTCACCAACAATTCCTCGCGTTTCTTTCCAAAGCCCTCCTAATGCCAAATATCTAACGCTCCAATTAATTTAGCTACAAACGTAAGTAACACCTAAAAAAGATCAAGTTATATGTTGACGTCTAAATGAGAATATCAGAATCGCCAAAAGTACTCAAAACAGTCTCAGTCGAATCTTCAAGCCACCAAACTCAAATTATATATTCTACAACAACTCAATAATAATTTACACCATTACAATACCAATCAAACAACTGTATATCACATCTATGATAACAATAAACTAACAACAAATACAAAATTAATCACAAATACAAAAAACAAATATAATAAACAAATACAAAATCCATCCTTCTTCTCTGTTGGTGATTATTTAAAAGCAGAGTCATTCCCAACATAACTAAATGCTCGATATAACAAAACGCACATTAAATTTCCATCACTTAAATATCACATCTACAATCAAAACAACGGCGATACACTATTCACCATCGCCATACGCCTCACAAATAATACCAACCACTCAATACGCAATCAAAACACATCATAATAATTGCGATACATAGTGAACAATAGTGAAACGGTAAAACGACAGAGTAATAACGCACAAAATAAAAAAAAACGCAATTTATATGACAAAAAATAAATCGTTTAATTCTCTTTCATAAACGTTCTAAGGCCAATTTTAGCGAATATGGCATCGATTTCCACTTAGAACATCGCCGGGCACATTTCTTTGGCCCTAAATTACAGATTTTCAAAAAAAACCGCACAAATCAGCCCCCTATGCAACATCTACAAAATACATAGAATTATATTGCACTGAAGAACTGAGATAGAACATCTGGCAAAAAGCCATTTGGCAAGAGGCCGAATACCGTATTCAGACAATCGTGTCGAGACCACATGGTTTGATATTAATTCAAATCTGCGAACACACGATACTTGGCACCTTGCCAATACCGTATTGCAAACAATCGTTTCGAGATGAAATTGATTTAAAATTTGCAATTTTACATCAACTACAGAAATATTTCCAAAGGTTAACCGCACCATTCATGTTGTACACTTATGATCGCTGTACACCATATATGTTCTGACTATACAGATTGAAAAGTAAGTGCATACGCTAGGCTATGCATCATTGCACTACGTTCAGCTGGTGCTTCTCAGTGTCTCTACGCGTGCTCGTATGTGTGTGTATAGCCATGCAATTGTTGAGTAGTACCCACTTCATTTGAAGAGTTCGTAGCGATTCTTCCTATTTGATGTCTAGTAAACGTCCGTTTATTGGACCAAATGTTCAGTTATTTGATTGAAAATGCATATGAACACATCAGTGTACAAGCATTTTATTACGTAAAACGTATAGTTGAGGCCACTTGAAACTACTATAGCAATGCAAAAGCAGTCACAAAAACAGTATGTACTATAACGAATACATCAACATTAACAACAGTAATTGCCGTAACGCAATCACAATCACCTCTAATCAGTCACTATGAACACGAATGAGGTTCAGTTGAGTCTGTCACTGTTTCCACTGCTACTCTATTAAAGTCAGTGAACATTCAGTTGAAAGAATCCCAGCGAGTGTCATCAATTTCAATCTTTCTAACGATAATATTATCATCAAAAAGATACGACAACAAAATAATAGACTCAACTCAATCTCAATGATATTAGTAACAGCAAATCAATACGATGACACGAAAACATTAAGGTCGAGGGGGTGTAATCGGATAAGATTTCGGTATTGATTTCCATTCATTTTCAGTTCGTTTGTAAATCATTTGTCGTGTGAAATGACCCAGTTTTTGATTGTCTCGTAACGCTTTAACAGATGCTCTGAAATTTATCGGTTACTGCATTTCGTTATCAATTTGCTCAGTTTGTAAAAATTTAACAATATCCCTGAACTTTTCAATTTAGATTCATTTCCACACTGACTAAACCACTCCATCAACTTCATATCGATATCTTCCGAGCACGTCCGTCATTACATACACTGCTTACAATTAGAATCGTTCTATTCATCAAACATAAATGCTTCCAAATGAGGCAAAACTCTTCAGAAGACCATAACCTAACGAAACCCAGATCAAACATCAATAGAATTCCAAAGTAGAATCACCAAACCAATAATGAAAGCAACCTTTCAGTGGGTGGTTTCAGCAATTCTTCAAGATTACACTCGAATGGTGGTGTTGACATTTCCGTATCAGAAACCATCTCAACATGCACCATATCTAAGTCATTACGCAGGATCGAACGAGTTTTCTTCTTTTCATCCATTGACATGAACGTCTTAATCAGAAAGTAACTGAAATTGTCAAAACCATGTGAAAGTTTGAGGGAGCCCTTCCTTTGCACATCGTTGAAACTTTTCTTTCCGAAGATGCAACGCAATCCAAAATAATGTTAGCGCTGCGAGTGACTGTTTTTCTCCTCGAGATTTGCTATACATATTTTTGTACTTAAACCATTTTCTTTTTTCGGCATGATCCGCACTCCGCATCCAATTACAATCCAAACCCATCAAAAATTTCCAATCCAACCACAAATTTCAACACGTCCTCTGTCACAGCAAAACAACCTACTTGGACGTATAAACCGATTCTTTGCTTTGTTTCGATATTCGTTTATGTGGCAGATCCCTATAGCCGAGGCTTTCCATTTTCTCGATAACCGCTCCATGATCGAGAAGTGTTGTTGCGGCGCGATGCAGAACTTTGAACAGATCACCCTCCAAACAGAAACAAAGACACTTTCTTCAGGTGGATATGCATAGCACATGCGACCATTACAACGGATCGCTATCAAGAAATTTTACTTCCAATTATGCACGTAAGCTTGGAAGAGAATCTAACTAATTTTGCACACTCGAAGAGGACATTGCAAATATTAAAAAGCCATATATATATATATATCGTTTCACACTTTCAATAATCGCTGAGAATTAATAACTGCTATGCGTTTCTTGAGCAAAAAAGAGAGAAGAATCGTGAAAATATGACTCTTGAAACTCTTTACTTCATGAAGAATTTCTCGGCTCCATATGCTTACATTAAAAAACTGACTGCTTTATCAAACATCAACTGCAGTGCGCAACTAAACGAATAAATAAATACTTTCATAAAACACACCTTTGAAAGTGCTCTTGTAATGAGGGTAACTTCGTAATATGGCATGGTTTTACTACTCTGTTATATTCGATACAAACTCATCGAATTAACACTGATTGTCTCAATGTGGAATCGCTGACTGCCTGCCTCAACGTTGATGAGTCTTCCTATAAGTTATGCATCATTTACCAAAAATCGACAAAACACACCTTCCAAGTAAACCCTATAAACAAAACACAGGCCAGCTTCAATGTAGACGTTATATTGCAATCTCATATAACATCCCAAAGCTGTCAACGCATTATTTCTCAACGTAAAACACATCTACAATACAAGCAACTAGCACACAATCGATGAATCCCTTCAATTTCGCTACTGTATTGAGATAATAGTTAATCAAGATCAACCTTATCAAACCTTAGCACCTCTTCAATCATTTATAACAACCAAAATCATTACGGTTATCGAAAAACTCCTAAACGCATCAATCGCCAATCGACTAGATCTTCATTATCAGATTTTCAAAGAAACGCTCGTAAATTCTTTCATCATGTAGCATGGAACAACTGAACATTTGAATAAAATAACTGGGAATGGTTTGAACCAAACTCAAAAAACTGACTCCGAAACGATCAGAATTGCAACAATATCGAAGAAAAACGTTCATGATCATCACCACCAACATATGTTCACTCTCATTTATTAAACGTTTAAAACTCATTTGGAGAAGTTTAAAAACGATGTATTAATGATCACACAAAGAAAAAACCAAACAATTCAAACGAAAAAATTGAACGAACACACATACAATAAGAGAATATCAACAGACTGCATTGCTCAATCGTTCCAGCCCCGCGGAACGATGGATTGAGCCTAAACAACCCTTAAAAATGAATCGCAATTTTCTTCCTCTAATCCGATTTCTCGATAGATTATATCACTTTCATTACGCCTCAAACAAGTTTCCACGAAAAAGTATTATATTATTTTAGTACTTGAGATCACCTTTTCAAGAGATAAGAGTCGCTTTATTGAGAGATGCAGTGATCTAACTAGCCTGGTTATACTGCTGAACTCCGTGCAAATCTAATCAAAAGCCCTCTAAAGATTTGTTGGTAAATCTATCGCTGAATCGTGCAACACCAACTACTAGAATCAACACGATCCCTTCTAGTCACTACAATAAATTTTCAACAAAACGGTATCTCTATTGTTTCCTTCATGGAATATTCGCAAAATTTCTCAACTAAACATCCCATTATGCTTCCGCTTTCAAGGCAGAAAGGAGTAAAGAACGTTGAGGCAAAAATGTTGATAAAATTCAATTGAGACCATCATAAACGATGAATGAATCAGCAAAAATATGAACAATAAACAGTCGCCATTAAGAGCACAGTACAATTATGGACTCATTCTACAGTGAATATCACCGAATTTCCGAATGTTTCGTAACACTTTTCAGAACCTAGTCGGCCTAAAATCATTGCACTGAATTTCAAATATATTGAGCGGAATCAATTGGACGCACAAGAACATTATCACTATCAACCACGACATTGTTTCTCAAATATCCTTGAAAAACGAACAAACGACAAAACATTGAGGATTAGGCGCGATTATGAAGAATATTTTTCCTCGACACATCCATAAAATCTTCCCTAGACACAACAGAATATGATAGGCAGGTTGATGATTGAAATATTTCGTTCTCGATTGATAAATGCAAATGCAAATTGTGAAATTATGCTGACCATCTCAATATCTTATTCACTATTGTTCAATACTTCACAATAGCATCGTCACAATACAACAGTTTAGATTTCACAAGAAACATCCTCAATACTCATACTATATTACCGCATTCTTCTGAAACTGCAAATAGAATTTAAACTACAGATGACTAAATACGATGACTAACCTAGAAATTAAGAACCAACGCAAATCTACGAATAACACACAGTTTCAGGAATAACAGAAGCGGAATCATAAAGAGGAATAAACACATTGAAGATTTCTAAAATATGAGTATTGCGGACAATCTTACGAGCACTAATCTTACACTATCAATCAACCGTACGATCATTACTCTTCATTACTTGCACTGAATGCCTTTATCTTTTATATAATTACTTCTTCCTATCGCTCAACCACAACATGTCACCTACAAAATATGATTGCCGTTCATTTGCATATTCATAATGCGTTTTCAATAAGTGAGTTTTGACAATTAGCACAAAATGGCGAAAGCAACGCAACATACACTCACATACAGCTACTTACTGATTGCATATCATATCGCCGAGCCATATCGCATCAATTAATGGTTATATGCGAGCGATACTTTTGTACAGAAATAAAAGAAGAAGATACAATTCAAAATCAGACACGAGATAATTACGATATAATGCGAATACACGTTGATATAGGGAAAGTACAGGATTTTCAAGGATGTATGGAAGATATTTCTGTACAGTGCAAATATCAATAACATAAGAAACGTTGCATGATTGGATCTGAAAGAAAAGATTCGATGCATGAAAAGACGGGGCAGAGAGGCAGTAAATGCATTGACCTGAAGACTTGATAGATGAACGAATGACTGAATAACAGCTGGATGGATAGATGGGCTACTCGGAAATGAAACGGCTGAACGATGCAAGTGGGGCCATTTCANTGAGGAACATGCAAAACAGGAACAATTCAAATAAAGTAGAGGACGCGATTCAGACGGAGAGAAATAAACGCATCTCAATTGCATGTTAGACGAATCATTTGCCATGGCAGTTCACGATAGTGAAAATTGATTTAGAAAAAGAGTATGAGAGGAAGATCATGGGCCAATCGCGGAATTTTTCGCTTTCTAATTCTATTGGTTAAACGACCATATCACAATCTAGTAAACGACAATTTCCACTTGATGAATCTCACATCAGAGCGGATAAAATGTGCACTCTTCACATAATGGCTTTAAAAATTCAGTTGTTTTGTCAAAAACATTCAGAAATCGCAGAAACTGAACATTAAAGCAAATGAGGAGGAATGAAACCAACAAACCAACGAACACAGGAACAAATGAAAGAATGAAGAAATGAAAAAACGAAACATCGATTTAAATGAATGGAACACAACACTGATTGTGAGAAATAATCGCCATCAAGATCATATCGAACATTACCACGATTCATGAATCGATTTATTACGAGCGCAACAGCTATTTCAAAGTCTCACTCACAAACACCACTAAAAGTGTACAACTCAAACTCAAACCCACCCTAACCTCCTCCTATTCCCGTTCAATTTCATCCCAAAATTTCCAAATAAAACTTAAAACGACCACTCTTCTCAATCTTCGCATATCATACAACATCGCATTCAATTATAATGTTATCATATTCCGCAATTACAATTAGATGAAAATAAAAAACACAACATAAATACATCCAAACGAATGTTAATATATATCTATTGGGAGAAAACACATTGTCGATTGAATCATTCAATTAAACATCCAAAACGATGATTTCAAAAGCAAAAAAAANAAAAAAAAGAAAAACAAATACAAATATACAAATAAATACAATCCGTTGTGATTATCGACCATTTAAGTGAAGTGAACATTGTTCATTCGCATCTCATTTCAAACTAAATGCAAACTTAAAATCTCAAACCAATATTCCGATTTTAAATCCGACACGCTGAATCAATCATACACTCACTCCATTAAAGAACTCAAATGATGTTCACCAATCGAAACTAAAGGAATGTGCTCTCAGAAAGAACTTATTGAATTTCTTATATTGCTTAACCATTTTATGACCACACAAACAGATAACTGCTGAATGAAAAAAATCTCTCGAATCGTCTCAAATTCCATTCAACATTTATCCCTCATTCTAGTTGGATGTTATTATCTTTGTGGACGAGGTATATCATGAGTGGTTTGTTGTTGAGGTTGAGCTGCCAGACCACTTCTTCGGTGATTATTATTCGATGACTGATTACTGTTACTGTGAGTTGCACGAGAACGATCTGTAGCCGCAACCGGGGCCTGAACTTCGGCTGAGATCGTCGGATTATACGTCGCATTCACATCATGAGGCGTATATTCGGGTGGTCGTTGTGATAAATTAGCGTTATTATTAGCAAGATTAGTCGTATTATTACCCGTATTATTCACGTTAGCACCGCTGGACGCGATCACCTGTAATTTTCAAATACGATTCGACAATTTTTTGTTGTTGCTGAAGCTATCGCACAAAAAAATCATCGAATAGTAAACAATACTATAAGTGAACAAACGAACACACCAAATCGTATGGTGGAGGTGGATCGATCGGTTTCAACTCGCCATCCACCTCGTTTCCGATCATTGCTGGATTAAACACCGGAAGAGTGTTCAATCGAATCACATACGATGGCAGTATACCATTCGAATCGGCTGGTTGCAATGCCATACGATTCGGGTTCTCCTCATTCAATAAATTCTCCTAAAATTTTTCACCAATCGCTATATTTCTGATTGATCAGCAGCCAGGTTGATATCATCTAATGTTCATTTTGTCTCACCTTAATCGATCTAGCATTGAAGTGCCAGAAAGCTCAATTATGTTCTTATTGATAGTTATCAAATGAAAGCCATCTTCAAGGCTGCTTAAAATTATTCACATTTTTTGATCCATACTCGCTCTTTTTTTTCCTTTCACGAAATTGTTTGACTATTACGTTTGACTATCCAGTGGTCTGCACATGAAACTCCTCCAAACCGCTATGGTTTTGAATGCGATTTCAAAGTTTCTCTACAAAGAGTTCCACAAAATGCTTGGGGAAATTTCAAATTTCATCCGTTCAAGTGCATGTAACCCGGTCATCAAAAAGATCAACCACATTCATACGTTGGCTCATTTCGAGTTCAATTCACTTCAAACAAAACACATGAATACAATCGAACATTTCAACATTCAATAGCCATATTATTTATTGTCGAACCTGAACCCTCAACGCAGACTCCATTCCTCGTCTCATGTTCGCATCACGATACGCGCTCAAATTCTGTCGCCTCGCGCCCAGCAAGTGCCCTCCTGCAATCGCTCCTGTTCCAGAAAGTGTGCCTGACATGGGCGCTCTACGACGTCCTTAAGCGTTAAACAATAAAGCAGTGTCATCACACGACGACAACACTACGCGGCGATTCAATCAAAACAAATCAGTGCATTCGTGAATCGAAAACAACCAACACTCCACATATATTCGCCATCTTTTGCGCATAAAATATTCCAAAATTCTCAACTATCTTCATGAAATTACTTTCAAAACTTCAGAATTTCCTTAAAAATTTCCGAACTGAGACTTTCAACAATCCTGAACTTATCAAAAAAGACATCTTTCTAGCACAAAGCAACAAAATAAAAAAACTGATAAACAACTACACGAATGATATGAAATCACACGAATCAATATGATATGAAATTAACTCCTATCAACACGTCTCAGAGAATAAAAATTCTCAAACAATCAAAAATGATGTGAACATAAACCAAGCCAAAAGCTAAAATCAACGAACTTCTGCCTCCTCGAGTTTGTTTGCGAGGACATAAATCAAGTCGACACACCACACAACAAATTATTATTATAACAATACACACCAAAGGCACTCCCAATACTGCACCCCATGAAGCAGTATAGTTCTGAAATTATGCGCATTTTATCACCCATCCCTTATGGTCGACTTCCAATCAACAAACTCAAAATGGTTCGAATTTTTTAAAACCAAAAAAATTCATGAAACAAATCAAATGTTCAATGCAATACATCAATATGAAGTGGAAACTTTTTTATATAATTATATGAGATTTTACAAATTTTTTGACGAAGAGCGTATGTGAAATCATGAAATCGTAAATGCTTCCAACTCAGAAGCAGCAACAGCAGCGGCAGTTTTCGAATGAAATTAACCGAGAGAGAACACGCACCTGACAGAACTGTCCCGTATACCAATAATCCAGGCACCTGCAATGACCATTGTCCATCGCACGTCCACCGTTCATACATCGCACCAATTCACAATGTGCACCAGATATATATTCTGGATGTGGACACCTAAACCGATTGAACCATTTCATTTCAATTATTATCCTTATTGCTATCATTGTTGTTATGGTTATTACACATTCTGGAATGATTATTACAGAACACAAACACGAAGGAAGAGTAGCACTGATCAAAGCATATCAAAATGAAATTAAATAGCACACAACTAAGTTAAACTAGAACACTCTTCATAAGATACATTAACACAAACTTGCAAATGTACTCATCAGGCATAGTCTTTGTAACTTTCACTCGCGTTCCATTATTAACACAAATGATCTCCTCACAGCGATCGCCTTGATAATATTTCGGACAAATACAGTCACCTTCAATTTATCACTTTACCTTCAATTCACCTATCCATACGTTCACCTTTGATTTACAATCATCACTTTATCACTACTTTCAGTGATTACATCAGCTAATCACTCTCTAATCCACTCCTCTTCTGCTACAGCATCAATCATTTTAAGTGGCTTAATTCCTATCGTCTTCATCACCACAATATTATCAATCGATGTTTCAATTAACATTATTGCTATTCGTTATAATGCAACTCTAACGATAAATGATCACTAAAAACGAAATAACTCTATCCGTTCGTACACATTAACAACACATCACCTCAGCCAACACCATCTATAAATCATTACTTATGATTCGTTGAATTACTTCAATTCATATCAACTCCTCTTCTATTACTGCATCAATCCGACCCTAACACTGCTATCGTTACAAATCAACTGATTTTGAGTTCTCTTCGAAACATTACAGTTGATGGGTATGTTTTTGCGTTTTTCTAAAAAACAAATGAAAAAGAAGAGGTGGAGACTTAGGGAGGATGGCATAGTGAAAAGCAACAAACCCCGTGCTGTTCTCGTGCCACCATTCAAGCATTCGGGTGTGAATCCGAGCATTTTTGTCAACTTCTCAAGCGTGTTTGAGAAAACATTTGCGATGGCTGAAAGAAAAACTTCATGAAAATTACACTGCGAAAACAGTCATTCTGGATGAGAATTTGAAAAAAGGATAAGATTCCATAAACTGAAAACAAAAAATAGTCATTTGAAGAGTTCCTGGAATTTATGACAGGATTTTTACAAGACAAGCTGCTCATACTGCCCAAAAAAACGAAACAAGAGAACCATTGAAAAAAATGAACCAAGCTTCACTCTCTTTCTAAAAATTGATCATTCAAGGAAAATTCTTCAAGATGGGATAAATCCTAAGCTCATGGAAATTCCAGATTCAATGTATGATCCTGTTTGTCAAAAAATTAAAAAAAATACAATGTTGAACCAACAAATTAAATAATTACACGAACGAACACACACCACTAAGCCAAGCAATAAATCACCCAATCACCTTCACCTTGTTAAATGAAGCAAATAAAAGATTGCACCAAACCGAAACAAATAAAACACTATCCAAATAGAAGGCAACATTTAAAAATTTCAGAGGCGACACCCAAAACTACCGCGAAAGATCAAATTTGAAACAATTTTGAAACAACACAATCTGCTCTCAAATCCCTCCACTGTTCCACTAAACAGTCAAAGACGACGTGAACAAAATCATTAAAAAATAAGAAGAAACAAGATCAACCAAACAATAAATCAACAAATGAATACACATTAAATTGAACCAAACCTTAAACAATAAGCAACTTTCATAGATAGATGAAGAATTCATAGATGGAGAAAATTCTTCGAAGCAATTATCATATCAAAAACCCGTCTGCAATTAACTCACTAAATTCATGCAATTACCCATATCTTCTCTCAAAAAATTTCATTCTAAATTTCTTTCTTCAACTGTTTTCAACAAATACTCAACAAATACCATCGCAACAGACACACATCGAAAATCACTCATTTACAATTTTATTCTAACCAAAATTTAGGACAAAAACATTTTTTTCATTGCTCAACTCTGCTCGATAATCGTCGTATTCAGTCGGCTTTTGATGGCACCACATAACGATTTGAACTCCCAAGAGAACCATTCAGATAGCAGTGAACGACGGGAAAGAACATTTTTGAAAATGACCATTAGGGAAATATTAACTTTCACTGATTGTTTTAAACGATAACGCCATCGTGCACCAGCACTAGAGCAAATCGACCCACATATGACTGCTTTTCACATTCAGCAATATTTCAAACTGAATGCTTCCATTCTCAAACAACCAAACTTCTCAATATACTCACAAACAGTTTAAAACCATCCCAACTTCCATATTCGTCAAAAACTACACGATGAACAAACTGCAGTTTTAGGTTGTTCGATATGCTTTTGCGTTCTTCTCAATACCCCGGCTAGCAGCATTGAATTATGTCGAGAACATTTGTCGAAAATACCAAAATCATGCAAAATATGTTGAATAACTGAAGGAAACGAGATGAAAATCAAAACAAAAAACACACAACGAAAAAAACCATAAGAAAATTCTAATGAACTGATAAGAAATCAAAAATTTTCTCAAAATAACCAATTTTTTTTTCAAAAAACCAACGAACGAAATCGCACCATATGTTGACATATACACCGCCATTGTTCATCGATTAGATAGCGATAGAACTGATTCTGATTATTTTGTTATTTGGATCAATGTTATTTTTAGTATTATTGTTACTGATATTGTTATGGTGATAAGGATGACCAATACTATTGGTACTGATGTTATTTTGTTAGAAAGCGATGGTTGTTACGATGCAGCAGCAGTTAGTTGCTGTTGTTTAGTAAAATAATGCAGCTAGCCACAGGAATGAATGAATATAAATCACAAAATATTTCCGCACCAACGACACAAATAACAGTATCAATAATACAAACAATAATTAGACATCAAACTGATATTTTTTAAAACAGTGAAGCTGTACAATTATCATTAATGCATTGATGATGAAACTTAAGAGAATATTTCAAATTCGATCATTTTCACCAAAATATTTCGGCGCTTTTCTGCTGGTGATATTTTTGTGGAATTTCAATTCATTTTTAGTTCAATTTTATTCAGTCATTCTTACGATTCGAATTATTATAGATCATTGACGAGGATTTCTTCCCATTTGCATCCATATTCGAAAAACACATTTTATGGTCTCACACATAACCACCATATAACCGATAACTAATAACAGTAATGCACTCGTAGTTCGTCTTATCGCCAATATTTATTTTGTTTCGTTTTTCCAATCTATCAACAAAGATTTCATCAAATTAGCCAAGCACGCACGATCGATCTCATGATAAAACATTCCACAAATGATCCCGAAATACATCAATATAACGAATTCAACACAACAAAAAACAAACATATTAAGCATCTGTTTCGCCTAATGTACCTACGCACAGATAAGCAAATATTGAGCGTAACAGTGCACAAGAGAACTTAAACGAAGAAGAGAACTTATCGTTAAATAAAATTCAAATTAAATTTGCAACGAAAAACATTCTCATGCTGAGAATTCGTCCAAATTGTCATAAAAATAACAAGGAAATTATTCATACTGAATTCACGCTTGTCTTAATCATGCAATCCTTTGTACAGTAAGAGTATTCCACAAGCAAACATAAAATGCTTTAGAGACACTTTCTAAACGCATAGTGTTGTGATTCATCGAGAGAAATCACTCACTCAATTCGATTCAACTCCAATGATTCCGAATTACAAATTCACATTATTCCCTTCCTCCAATTTCCCCATCAAAAATCCTCCAAATGATGGCTAACAATAAGATGAAGATGAAATGTGTGTGCACACTACGACATCACCATCTACTGAAAAAACAAACTCAAAATAACGGTTCACCTTCACATGGCTAACCTTCTTCAACATGCCTACATGTATAAGAGAAGATTCAACAATAAAACAAGCCTTTCTGATGTTTCTGCTTCTTTTTTTTCAACTCTCTCTCCCTCTTTGAATAATGACCTTGATCATATGATTGATTGAAGTTTAGATGACTTTGAGTAAAGATTTTCGACAGAAAACGGAAAGAATGACAGATGATAATGGATAATCATTCATCAAATCACCGCAGTAATAAACACCGAATCACATTTTCGAAAACCAAACTCTGCTATCAACCGCCCTTATCATCGTTCTTCACAGCACCATAAAATCACTCAAATGCACTTTTTAAAACCGCTTATGATGCATCATCATCCACATCATGCATTCACATATACATGTTCGGCTAAAATTTCTCTACACATTTATCCCCATGGGGACATAAATAAGACTCATCACTCTATTGCAAGTATGTATATCAGGCAGAACGGATGCATGCATGGATGAATGGATATGAAGATGAAGAAACAAAACGTGGATAACAACAATAACCATGATGATGAGAGGAACGTATCGGTGCGAAGACACACGGATGATAACGGATTTCAGAGATTGTAATTTATCGCAGATTATGACATGACTTCGTGGTATCCTCACTCCTTTAGATGATCCTGCTTGTTGACTTACATAAATAAGACTCACTCTATTGCAAGTTGTGATTACTGCTCACAGCAAAAATCCGACGTTTAAAATGCAATATATCCGAAGTAACGAATCAGTGAATGTATATTCTCGACATACTGACACATTTCAATATACTGATTAGAAATCAAGTTAAGTAGAATCGGATATGACCACATAATAAATCTTATTTTTCCATGTGATCGAAAACCAAAAAATAAACTCAAACAATTACTCCTCAAGCTAGAATGAAATCACAATAGCAATCGTCGCATACACTCAAATAATTTATCTTAAATTCGAAACCCATTCAAAACCGATCAAAAATTAATGGATGTCTCTATTCGCTGCAATATTATTCATAACACCTAACCTATGCAATTTCAAACAATGTGGTATTTCTGTCAAAATGCCTCTTTCATTCATTCATTTCTCAGCGACTGAACTATGCCGAACACTACTAACTAGCAATCGCCATTTTCACTGAAAAGAAATTTTCAAACGTCGATTCTTCTTGAACCTTACCTCCTCCTCCCCCCCCCCGGTCGAATTACCTCAGATCACTTCCCAATTTTCCGGAATTCTAACATGACCAAAGTGAAATGTGATATTACATGAGTACATCTATTCCAATACACTATCATACAACGTGATCCATCGTCATGATATGTGAAAGTTAAGAACAACAACTGATAATCAAACAGATGAATAAACGAATCTAAAACTACGCTAACAACAAAAGACAAACAAATAAAGAAATACATAATAGATTAATGAATGCTCCACACTCATCACTAGTCTAAGGCTGATTCTAGCGCTACGGCACAATGAAGATCAATGAGACGACGCTTGCTTGCATGCAATATCGATATCACTCTCCACTAATGATATGATCTGATCATATTACCGACTATCATCACAAATAAACAAATATGATCATTATTAGGATTAAACACATCTATCCTTCTCCAAAGCCATCAACGTTATCCTATCATACATAAGGTATCTCACTTTCAAGCATTTCACCTTCAATACTTCAATACCTAAGAACGGTATCTCCTATCTGCTTTCACCATTATTTCTACAAGTAGATTCCAATCCANTACAAAACCGAAAAATGATTCTTCATATCTTTCATATGCGTCAACTATAACAACTCCAATTATGAACCATCAATATGATATGAAAAACGAAATTCTTCGAACTAGTCATCTGATTTGCTGCATGAACAGGAAGAAGAATACGAGGAAACAGACACATAATATGAAAGGTGGGTGAATGGACACGAACAGATACATACGGAAGTGAGAACAATGAAAAAAAAACCAAATAGGAATTTAAACAACGGAAAGGAGAGAGGAAAGAACGACGACGAAATGAACAGCAAAAATTGCTAAGAATCAACACCACAAATGCGAAAACCATTCGAAAGAAAGAAAG